TTGTCGACGCATGGTGGTTGGAAGTTGACGCGTCGCGTTTTTGTAATGAAGTGGACGGCTCGCTTGGGTGGACGGCTCGCTTGTGGAATACGTTACTATCTTTAGTACTATAGTATACTTTAAATAGCATTTTATTAGCCAAATTAGTGTATAGGGTTCTGTTATATATATATACAGCTGTATTTACAGCCTCTTTCTATAGTTCTAGAGGTAGTCCTGCAGTATATAGTAGAGCTTTTACTATATTAAATATAGTTAGATTTATACGCTCTACTAAGCTATTCTGCTCGGGTGTATAGGGGCTTAAAAACTAATGAATTATATTATACTTAGCAAGAGAATATTTAAGTCTCTTATTAGCGTATTCACCCCTATTATTAGTTTTAAAGTACTAAATTATCTGCTTTTTAGGTATATTTTCAGCTCTAGATTTATACTATATAAAGGCATTATATACTTCTTCCTTATTTTTTAGGAGTTTATAGTCTATATATCTAAATACTATATCTAAAAAGAAGATAATATACTTATTACCCCCTAAACTAGGTGGATTTATAGGTTCTGTAAGATTAGATAAAACTTTTTATAAAAGTATTGTTAGCTTAGCTATAAGCTCTTTAGTACAGCTATTTTTAGTTATTTTTACTTTTATACAGGCCTTATACTGTATAGGTTCCTTTATTAGAATACCTAGTAGTATACTAAGTATCTTAGAGCTTATATAGCCTATTCTTTAGTGCTATATAGATAGATTTAAATTATCTATATATATTTGCGTATATATTTTTTTTATATTTATCTATATATATATCTGTGCAACCGATCACCAAAATCGTGATCTGACCCGTATTGTCGTACGGGCGTTCGGTTCCGTCTCATTTGAATAGCTGCGTTCACCTGAGAATAAGGATCACGTTCTCTACGAGTGCAGCGCGTTGGCGTGGCTAGAGGACGCTTTTGAAGACGTCGTTCTTAACGCCGCTCGAGAGGCAGAGTTTTCACGAGAGCCTTGGCAGAGCTCTCGAACAACCAAACAACAAGATAAACAGAGGACACAGGGTAAAAACCATCCGACATTCGATTACCTGGGCAGGCCATTCCAACCCAGGGCCATGCTAGCGCCTGTATTTGCTAGTAGGAGCGATAGGACCAATCTATTAGAATGACAGGACACCTCTGTACCGACACGGTCGCGCTTACGCCTCTGGACGAACAAACGACTTCTGGACCCAGGACCTAGGAGCCGATAGGCGTAAGAGCAAGGACAGTGGCGGTTTGGTTAGTAGATGGAAGGGACAATAGCTGCGCGGCGTCGAGTTATTAAGAGGTGACGACCTCCATCTGCAAGACACGGTCGGCCTGTCGTCGTGAGAACGTCACAGGCAACGCAAAGGGACCACTGCCTTTTCCAGGGGGTATATAGTCGTGAGGCGTGGTGTATAATGGCAGCGACAGTCAGCTCCGGGCCTCTACGGACGCCTGGTGGACTCGTGATGGACGGCAGTCTGTGGAGGGTGTGCAGGGTATGCGCACATACTTCCCATTTTGTTCCTCTCGGGCACGGTTGTACAAGCTTCGGCCTGTACAGCACCTCTACGCGCTGAGGATGTAATGGAGAGTATGCGTGCATTCTTCCCATTCTCTTGTGCACGGCTGAACAAGCTCCGGCTTGTACAGCACCTCTACACAGTGGCATAGGAAGTATGCGGCGCATCCTTCTGCAGCCCTCCCATTTTGCAGGCTATTACATAGGGAGGAGGATTAACACCTCGCTGGTGACACTGTCTATACAGCCCGAAAGGACGGATGCGCGTGTCGGTCTACTATTGTATATAAGCGACAACTTGTGATGTAGGCTTAAGGAGCAAATCAGGGGTATACAGGTTGTTGTAGGGAGGGCAGCCTGGGATAGGGCCCTGGCAGGAGGGCTGGTCAACCTATCTTGTATATAAGAGTAGTTACAAATACAACTGGCAGACCTTACCAACCATCTGGATACCGTACGACCCTGGAACCTAGGCCCCACGGACACCGGATCGATCCTGGAGAATGCATCAAGATGGCTTACTCCGTGGCGATGCTTACAGAGCTGCCACGCGTCCCCCACAGCCGCGTAGGAACAAAAAGGAACGCAAGGCGTTATACACTGTAGAAAACAAGGTTTTCACCCGACCGCTATAGAGCGAACGGTTTCCCCTTGTAAATAAAACCTAGATAGCACTGCCGCATGGACCCTAACGGGAGCTAAATCGGCCTAATAGAACCTAATAATAATAATAACAGTTCCTTTAGTAAATTTATTTTTTAGCCGGTAGAAGGCTATTAGGGCCTCTACTATAATTTCTATTAGAATAGACTTTTTATTATATTACTTCTAGCCCCCTATAGCAGAGCTAGGTTGCTTTTTAGTTAACTTATTAAAAAGGGCGGTAATTTTGGAAAATCCCTAGATAAAACAGCAGTAGTAGTTTATAAACCTAATAAAAATGCAGATATTTCTAATATAGGTTAGTTCCGGCTATAACTTAACTGTAGAAATTTAATATATATTCTTAAAAGCGCCTATAAGTTACATATCGCTCTTAGGCGGCCTACTATCTAATGCAGTCCAAACTAGTAATTAATAGGAGATAGAAAAGAGGCTAGGAGAACCGACAACAGAATGCTTAACCGCTTTAATTCCTTTGGGAAAGAAAGGAGATATTTCTATTACCTTGTGGGTTGGTTGAAGAGAGGGACTTTAAATACTCGGCGTATTTATAATGCAGCGGACTTAGTTAGCTTTACCCAGCCATCTATTACTTTAACCTTAAACTTAGCCGGAATAAGAAAATCCTAACTTGGGGTAACGTCTCTAAGGTCTACTAACGGCTCGCCGCCTTTCTCTGCATTGGAGATTCTAATTAATGCGCCTTTAAATCTTATTTTTCGGTCTTCTTTTATAGCGTTGAATATGCGACCGCGTATATATTCTAGCCCCTCTTCTTAAGCTGCTACGTATTTAACCTTAATAAAAATTCCATATTAGCTTAAAATATGTTTAAAAGGTTCAGATAGTTGGATATATATTCCCGGACATAACCAATCTCTGGTAGTATTCTGTAGAAGTACCCCTATTAAGAGAAGACCTGTCTTATATTATTAGCATTCCTCTTTAGACCCTGAAGTAGAGCTTTACAAGATGCTTATTAGTGGACTGGCTTATAACGCAAACTCTGTGCCGATTTATGTAGACAACGCGTACCGGATAAAGGAGTTAGGTATCTTAGTGTATCCGGCTACTGGAACAGAGTACAGGCTGGAAAAGGTGTTATAAGTATACGGCGTATACTAAAAACAGCGCCCGGAAATGCGAGTTACAGTAACTCTTTTATACCAGTTAGCTAAACGTACTATAAGAGGGACGAGATGGCTCCTGTTGCATTCACTTTAGCTGCAAGGTATATTGGTCTACGATACCCTAGTAGCGCTAGTAGTAACAGCGTAATACTAAAGGAGGATCCTTTTATCTGTAGGGTTTTGGATAGTTTAATAAGATAGTAAAAGGATTAGGGTAACGGCGTCGAAGTCGGTGTAGAAATGGAGGCTCTGGCTAAGACACTAAATCGACTGGGGGAGGAATGCTACAATTCGCGCAAAGACCCGTCAGCCTATGTTAAGTTAAGGATGGGATGGGCTCTTTGATATTTACCTTGATAACTGCAGAACGCAACTTATAGGTAACTGCCAATAGAGCAGGAAGCGCAAGAAGAGGTGGATAGTATGCTCAAACGCAGAGCGACCTTGCTGAACTGCGTGGCGCACGATTAGCGAAGTAGAGTCGGCGGAAGGGCGTGAGGGACATAAATGTGTTTTCCCAGTCGATGGATTGTACGACTACTCTTAAGCGTTGGTGCCTAACCGGATGTCGAGATGGAAAGAATCACCAGCGGTTTATCCCTCGGGCGGGGCTGCGGCCGGTTTTGCCCAGCCTCAGAATTCGCGCCCCACTCAGTCCAATGCATGGCAAACATCACGTGCATAATGAGCTAACTTTGTTGGTGGATTAGGTAAAGCTTCCGCGATGATGCAAATTTCAGCTGTGCATTGACCCTAAGTCCGTGGGATTGGAATCAGTTAATACACGTAGTTGATTTCCATTGCCTGGCCTTTTACGGTGCTTCGCATAGAGTATTTAAGGGGGTTCTTGAAATCGACGGGGTATTTGAAATGGCTCGTGCGTAGGAACATCAAAAATGACGGAGAATGCCGCTTATAAGGGCAATCGCATACAAATTAGCATTCTATCGCATATTTGATGTTACTCACACCGTATCTCAATTAATTTTGTATATTGTTAAGTCCTAGCATAGTGTTAAGGTTGCAGGAGTGCTAAGAATACATAAGAATGCCTCCCTACGCTGTTTTTTGTACTGCACGTCTATTACGCTGCATTAAATAACACCCTTAATACTAGGGCAATAGTATAGATATATAACTTTTTTAATAAGAATCTATGCTCTAGGAGTAATATACAATATCTTTCAACTGCTAATTCTGATTTGGGGCTTAACTTCTGTTGGAATTTATGTACATCTTGGTGAGATTAGCGTTTTCTGTTGATGCGCTTGAG